CTGGAGCTGAGAATAAAGCATCAAACTATGGCCCCTTTACTCTCTCCTACAAGAAAGAGCTAAAATACATCCAAATAAGATTAACACAATAAGGAAAGTACAAACAGCAGAGTTTTTAAATATAAGGATCACGATTTTTATATTCTTTTTTTAAAATCTATTTTAGGGAAGAATATTTCTTATATACATATATTTTTAACCATTTAAAAAAAATTTTTTTACATGATCCTCTAATCAGGATAATTACTTTATTTATCATTACACAATGTAATCATTTTTTGGTCCTCTACCAATTTCTCACTAATCCTCCCTTCCCCCTCCCCCTCTCCCACCTCTCGTGGCCTCGGTTCTGTTATTTCCTAGGATTTTTATATTCATCAGATGAAATCAGAGAATGTGAGGTGTAGATCATCAAAGATCCAAGTGGCTTCTCAGCAGACATTTTGCTCCTGGTTGCTCTCTTAATCCCAGTCTTGCCTTCTAGGTGGTCAGTGGGCCATACCGTGAGTCCACTCCAGGCCTAGGATCTTCTTGTCACTGCCCTAAGATTTTTTTCTCACCCCTTCAAGCCTCCATTGCTGCAGTCTCCCAGCCTTGTCCCCTCCACTGAACCCAGTTCCTGTGTCTTGAGCACTGACTTCTCTTTGACTTCCAAGTTTATGAGTTATTAACCCCCTGGGAGACAGTTAAAGGCCTTCCCTCTCCCTGCAAGAAGCAAGTTACATTTCAGCAGTAGCCTTTCGGACGCATCTCCCCTGCCTCCATGGTCTACCCTACAATGCTAGCTTAAATGGTGGGGTTTCCAGGCCCTCTAGGAAGGGAGCGTTTATGGCAGAGTTATTTAAGGGCCAGGCAGAGCTTCTGACAGCATGTAGATGACCACCTTCTCTGTTTATGGCTTGTCCTGCCTCTACCATTTACCTTCAAGGATGGAGATTCCAAAGCAGAAAATCATGAGCAGCAATTTTTTAGCTGCCACTGGCACACAACTGAGAATTGACTCGGTTCTCACTATGGAGTCAGGATGTGTCATGCTTGGAAAAGCTATTGCAGCAGCGGGGTGATCTCATTAAAATCATAAAATACACTAAAGCAATCAACACTGCACCCTTGGAAAGCTGGAATAAGGCAGGAGTTCAGAAATTGCTGGAAGGCTAAGGGTTCCTTTTTCACGTGGAGGAAATAAGATTTTGGTTCCTATTCTCACACTTGGGTGTCTGAATGCATGTGTACTTGCCTAATCACATACCTTGCTTTCTTGGCACCGATGTGCACAAACTAATCAGCCTTGATAAATTAAAAATTCAGCATTACCCAGAATTTTTTATTTTTGGTATATAAGCAACAGAAATGCTTATGTACTTTCACAAAGAGACATGTGCAAGAATTTTCATAGCAGTGCTATTCACGATAGCCCCAAAGTGGAAACCACACAAGCATCAATAGTAGAATGGATAAATAATACAGCAATGAGAATGAATGATCTTCAACTTTATACACAATACAGTTGAATCTCAGGAACACTGAATCTCACAATATGGTTGAATCTCATACTGAGTGAGAGAAGCCAGACACAAGAGAGTACATACTATGTAATGCCATTTACACAACGTATACAACAGGAGTTTAATATGCTGTTAAAAGTCAAGATAGTGGTTACTGATAAAGACCTGTGGTGACTATACATGTGGCACAAGGGGGCTTCTGAGGTGCTGGACATATCCTGTTTTTTCATCTGGGTGCTGGTTTCCTGGGTGTAATCAGTTTTTGAAACTTCACCAAGCTCAGACTTATGATATACGCACTTTTTGTATGTATTTGATAATTCAATAAAAACAATGTTTTAAAAAACCCTCAGCATCAGATTTTAAAAGATGCCTAATGACCTTAAATTACAATGAAGAAAATCTAGAGTAAAGTAAATCTAAGTGAATGGTTAAGTAGTATAAAGGTATGTTCTGTTTCTAATATCTGTTGAGGAAAGAATTTGGTAAAGTGGAGGAAAGGAAGTGAGAAATTATTTTAAGTTTTAGTATGTCCCTTCTTAGAAGTATCAGGATACATTGATCCAAAAAAGTGTGTCACTCCGGTAAACTGAACTAGCAAAAAGAAGGTCATATGTCAATGAAAGAGGTCACCAATCATGGTATTTCTTCCCTCCACTAAAAGTCATACACAACATTATTATGTCCTATTTTAAGAAGCAGTGAGAATTTTAAAGCAACTTCTCTCCCTTGTTTCTTATGATGATAACTTTCTGGCTCTGAATCCTCAGACTAAAACAGTACAATGTTTCAAGGGTTGCAGGTAGGATCCCTGAACTTAAGAGGATTCACCCAGAGAAAAGACAAAGGTTGATGAGGATGGTGGTTGGGAAAAAAACCTGATGCTACTTTCAACTGACAGCACTAGGCCAAGGCATAAAGGAAGGCAGGTAGAGGTCACAAAAGAGGGAAGGGGAGAACACACAAGGGGAAAATGTTTGGGGAAAGATGATGCAAAAGCCAGGAACTTATCAGATTCTCCTGTTAGATAAGCCCTGGGCTGGAGCTGAAATCAGGTCCACTGCTGAACACCCAGGCCACCTAACATTCTGGTCCACACGCACTCAGGAGAAAGTCCTCATATAAATACTAGTGATAGAGGAGACAGGAGCAAGCATTGAGAGAGCCAAAAATGTCTGTCTAGGACACTTGCACATCATTGTATGTGTGCATAAGGAAAAAATGAGAATATATTGAGTTAACTTTTCTTCCAAAGAATAAATACTCTTTGGGGATAAGCTGGGTACTTTTGTACCCACAGACCTTGACACTTCTTAATGTCCCTTTCCCCTTAAAGCAATGTTTCTCAAACTTTAAGACACTAAATCCCCTGGGGATCTTGTTAAAATGCAGATTGCTATGGTTTAAATGTTTGTCCTTTCAAAAACTCACATTGAAATGTAATTGCCATTGTAACAATATTAAGAGGTAGGACCTTTAAGAGATGATTAAGCCAGAAGGCTCTGCCCTCGCAGGTGGGATTAATGCCTTTATAAAAGGATGAGTTAACCCCTCCTCTCTCTCTCTCTCTCTCTCTCTCTCTCTCTCTCTCTCTCTCCCCCCACCCCCACCCCACGCCCCACCCACCCTTCACCAGATGCTGGTACCTTGATATTAAACTTCTCAGCCTACAGAACTGTGAGCCAAGAAATTTTTGTTTATCATAAATTACCCAATCTGTGGTATTCTGTTATAGTAGCACAAAACAGACTAAGATACAGATTCTGATTCATGGATCTGGGGCAGAGCCCCAAATTCTGCATTTCTAGCAAACTCCCAAGTGATATTGATGCTGCTGGTCTTCAGACCACACTTTGAGAGGCAAGGTCCTAAAACAGGAATTTGTTAGTGATCATAGGAGCCTGATAGGACCCTCTTATTTTTACTTTCAAATGTTATTTGAATATACACTAATAGTCTCTGGAAAAATACAAAGACCAGCAGTGATGGGGTTGGGAGGTAGGCACTGGCAGATGGAGGACAGAGGTGGGAGAAAGATTGTTTCCTCTGTACTATTTGTACTTCTTTTTAATGAGCCATGTGAAGGTACACTCATTCCAGAAAATAAATAAATAAACAAATTTAAAACAGGGATTTAAAAAACCCAAAACAGAACTGCCATAAGATCCAGCAATTCCACTACTAGATATACACCAAAAGGAATGGAAATCATCATGTTCCAGGCGTATCTGCACTTCCATGTTTATTGCAGCTCTGTTTACAATAGTCAAGATATGGAACCAACCTAAATGTCCATTGACAGACTATTGGATAAGGAAAATGTGGTTTATGTACACAATGGAATACTACTTGGCCATAAAAAAGAATGAAATTTTGCCACTCATAGCAACATGAATGAGCTTGGAGAAAATTATGTTAAGTGAAATAAGCCAGGCACAGAAAGAATGAATGAGCTTGGAGAAAATTATTTACAATAGTCAAGATATGGAACCAACCTAAATGTCCATTGACAGACTATTGGATAAGGAAAATGTGGTTTATGTACACAATGGAATACTACTTGGCCATAAAAAAGAATGAAATTTTGCCACTCATAGCAACATGAATGAGCTTGGAGAAAATTATGTTAAGTGAAATAAGCCAGGCACAGAAAGAGAAATACTATGTGTCTTCACTCATAAGTGGGAACTAATACAAATAAATAAATACAGACAGACAGACAACAATCACAATAATACATTGAACTTTCAGAAGGAGAGAACAAAGTTGTACTTACTAGAGATAGGAAAGGGGGAGGGGGATAAGGGTTAGTGAGAAATTGGTTAAGGGTCACAAAGAATGATCACATTTTATAATGATGAATATACTAGTTATCCTGATGGGATCATCACATATTGTACACAGGTATTGATATTCAACTCTGTACCCCTCAAATATGTATAATCAATTATGTTTCAATTTTAGAAACCTCATGAATTCATTTACTATATCTGGTTTGTTCCTAGGGAGTAAAGCAGGCAACATTTTGATTCATTCCTTAACTTGGTAAGCGAAGTCTGCCTCATTGTGTGCAGACCTAATTAGTATCCAAGAAGCATTAGGCTTGATCACAAGGGTCCCTCATCCTGTCTGGCAGGTGTTGATGGTGAGCATTGCCACTGAGATCTGTGGTGATTTCAGTGACTAATAACTGAAGGAAAGCTGCATATTTCAATGCAAGCATGTATCCAAGATACAATTTGTCAACAAGATAAAGAAGCCCATTAAGGTTCCAGCTTCTTCCAAGAAATGGCTTTTCTAGCATTAAGCACAATCAAAGCAAAACTGTTAGGATCAGGAAGAGGGCTAACATATACATTTCACCAAAGTCTGATTGGAAAAGGCGAATTTTGGAGAAGGGGGGAACTTGTCTTCAATTTCCAGATACATTCTCAAACACTGATTTTTTTGACCTTGTGATTTATTTGTAAGTAGAAAACTTGATTAAAAGGAGTGTTTATATTTGTTGGATATTTGTTGGCAAACTTTTTAATAAAACATGAAATACAAAGAAAATTGCACAAATCGTAACTGTATATATCAATAAAATTTCACAAAGTGAATACAACCAAGCAAAAGAATCAAGAAATAGAACATTCCCAGCACCCCAGAAGTACATCTCATGCTTCCTTCCAGTCACTAACTCCTACCCCAAGGTAACCTCTACTTTTACTTCTAGCAGCGTAGGTTAGTATTGTCTGGCTTTGAGCATCACAAAATGGAATCGTACACCACTGTACTTGTATAATTTTCATTAGCACCCACGTGCTCCCCCTTTTTTAAATTTTAATTTATCAATATACATGCTCCTCTTTTCTAATCAGTAAATTGTACATCTTTGTCTCTATGCTCAGAAAGGAGTGGCCTTTGAGAGCCTGGCTGATTAAGTCATTGATCAAAGTACATTCGCTAAACCGCTGTGTTTTTTCAAAAGAGTTGCATGAAAACATTCCCCACCAAATTACAATACCTCTCTATAAAAGGACACTTCCCAGGTCAGCGTCTTTATCTTCATTCTCTTTCCAAGTCATCAATTGTAAATTACCAAGTGAGCCAGAGGCATTGCAGATTCCAGGTCTGCAATTCTCTTCTGAGTCAGGAAAAAGAGTGGGGAGGATAAATCTTCAGCCTGTCAGAAAACCCTGAAACCACAATATCCCTGTTAACCTCATTAGGAAGAAATCCCGTTCTATTGTACTCTAGGGAGGACAGACATGCAGCCCCTGAAACTAGATTATCTTCTCTGCTGGTATAAGGTGGGGCAAGACCAGAGGTGACTTCATTTTGGATTTAGCTGGTGACTAAACGGGGTGCCTGAGGGATGTCTTTTGGGTGAGGACGCTCTGGGCAGGGGAGATAGATAAAGTGGCACAAAGAAGACTTCAGAAGAAAATGCTATAAAGGCAATTGATGACACTGTTGACAGAACTGAGACTTGGAAATCTAGTTATGTGGTATGGATGTCAGGAACCAGTTCTATTTATGACCATGAGGAGGATATTAGATACCAAAAGGAGAGCAGAATCTTTACTTTCCTATTTTTTTCTCTCAGAAAATATCTCTGGTTGAAGTCTACCTCTCTCCATGTCATACCCAGTAAGACTGAGGTAGTGATAATAGCCATGGGGAAGAATTTGAAGAACAAAAGCCCATTTTATCATAGCAAGAGAAATGAAAGCTTCATTCTTGGTCTAGAACAAAATTGTTATGGCTCTAAAATGTGAGGATTTAAATGCTAAACACTTACCCAATGTATAAAGGCTTTTTATACTATCCACATTACAGAGCCTGACATATTGATTAAGTGACATATACCATCTTATTTTAGGTCATCAGAAGCTACTAGTGGTGGCAGGAGGCTGAGGCAATGGTGAAGGTTTCAGTCAGCAAACATTCACAGGGCAGGGCACCTCCTTTGCAGTTGGCACCAATTGAGGTATATTCCCTGTCCTTGGGGAACTTACCATCAGGGTGAGAGGCGAGCATCGCCTGGCAGTTCATTAGAAATGGAGAATCTTGGGCCCCACAACACTCCTGAATCAGAATCTCTGTTGGAATAAGATTTTCAGGTGGTTTATATGCACATTTAAGTTTGAAGAAGCTGGAGCTTATATGACATTCTAGCTCAGTTATTCTCAAACCTGGCTGCATATTATTAAAACATCCTGGAGAATATGAAAAATCTTGATTCCCATTGGAGGAGTAAATCACAGGGAGACCTGGTACAAAGTTTCAATTAGACTGCAGGAACAACTTTAAATGATCTATTGCACTGCATGGTGACCACAGTTAATAATAAATAATGTGTTGTGTATTTCAAAATTGCTGAAAGAATAGATTTTCCATGTCCTCACCACAAAAAAATGCTAAGTTATTGAGGTGATGGGTGTATTTAATTAGCTTGATTGAATCTTTTACAATATATGCACAGGTCAAAACACCACATTGTACACCAGAAATATACACAATTATTGTCAATGAAAGAAAGAAAGAAAGAAGGAAGGAAGGAAAGGAGGGAGGGAAGGAAGAAGGAAGGATGGAAGAAGGAAGGAAAGAAGGAAGGGAGACAGACCTGGGGTCAGAGCATTCCAAGCAAAGGGAATAGGCAGGGCCAAGGCCAGGAGGTGGGAACAATCTCAGTGTGTGTTCCAGGAACAGCAAGAAGGGCTGGTGTGTTTGTGACAGAGTGAATGATGGAGAGAGTGGTGGGAGTTGAGGTCAAGGACAAAGGCAGTGCCAGTGCAAATTTCAGGCCATTAAAACTAGTGATGAGGGCCGGCCCGGTGGCGCACTGGATAGTGCGCCGCTTGGGAAGCGCGGCGGCGCTCCCGCCCGAGGGTTCGGATCCCACATACAGACCGGTTCCCGCTCACTAGCTGAGCGAGGCGCAGGAGCCACGACGCGGGG